GGTAAATTACATGATGTAATATACGTATGTTTGATGTCAGATACACAGTCATGTTTCTTACGTACCAGCCCAGCACAAAGCCAATAAAATATTTTTTTAATTACAGTAGAATCTCGTAGAAGTTAATCGAAATATTCCAGAGGTGATTCACTTTTCTGGAAAATTTCAAGAAACCTAGTTTTTTTTATCGTTCCTATCCCGTGTGAAAAATTTGTGACTGACTAGCCAGCCGTCTAATTTCGGACTTTTTGGCTGACTATCAGTAACTAAAAGTAATTATCTCGAACAAAATATTTGACTGTAGTCAACTTCAGTTATAGTCATCTAGTAGCCAAAAAGTCCGAAATTAGACGGCTGGCTGAAAGAATAACTAAAAGTGATTATTTCTATACAACATTCTTGAATACAATCAACTTAGCCAGTTTAAGTTATTTGCAGCTACAAACAACTGAATGACTGTCAGTCACTTTATTTGCATACGGGATGACATTGTGTCATTTCATTTTTGAACATTTTGAGACCAACATTTCTTTTTCAAGCCCTTTGTAAACAAATTTCGAAGCCGTCAAAATTCGCTTAACTTTTGTGTGAGTTTATTTTTCCGAGATTCTACTGTATCCACATTTTCGAATGAATTGCTAATTATTGTTCCGTTAATAGGCACTATTTTCCCAAAGTTCACGAAACAACCACCAAAAGAAGAGCTATTACATAAGGGGGACACTATAGTACCCTGTGAAGCTGAAGGAAATAATATTACGTAATTTATTCATTATGAAAATATTCTGATTTGTGTTAACGAAAAGAAAAACCGATTTTATATGCAAATCGTAGTAATTCAATGCAACACCGAGCTTTGGAAAAATCAATTCCAAATTCTGAGTAGCATTCTGAAAGCAACGGCATTGAATGAATGGAAAATATTGTTTTTCATCCATGCTAGGTATTATTGGAAAAGAGATGGCGCTGAATTCGACTGGACCAAACTCAGAACGGATGCAAATAGTGGTTCAATAACCATCGATAAACCTGGCCAATACCAATGCTTCGCTAAAAATGAAAATGGCATTGCCTCGTCAAGTACCGTGACATTTCTTGCTAGGGGGAAAGAACCATGGGTATATTTACTTTATTGACACGTATTGACAAATATTCACAGGCATTTGCACTGCGTTCCGTAGTGTTATTGCGTGTGGCGGCTGTTTAACGTCAAAGTCATTTGAGGCGACGCGAGCGCCCCCAATTTCAACGGGCACATCAATGTAATTTAACTTTTCAAATCGGAACTACACAGCGCGTCAATTCGAAATATAGGAAAATATAGTGTCAACAGCCGCACCATGTGTTATTGTTGTTGTTTTCTTCTGTTGCTTCGTCTCGTTCGTGGCGAGCACGAATGACAGTTGCAAATACGCACATTTTATTGACCATATTTGTATGCATTCGCAGCTTGATATTCAGCGCATTGACACGCATTGACGCGTTTTGATCCAAACTCGGTAGAATATGCGATTATTTACAATATTTATATTTTCATTTACTCAGATATATCCCCCTGGAGTACCCTTAGTCTTTGACACTATTATTACTCGAGTTAAAGAAAATGAACCGGCTGTATTGAAATGTGAACCGCCATTTTCTCGGCCGTCAACAATTCGATGGGAACACATCAATGCCGAAGGGCTGGGTGAACCAATCAATGATTCGCGCATGACAACGGGACCAGATGGATACTTATACATTTCAAACATCAATCAAAAAGATAATAGTAGTAAATTCAAATGTGAATCAACACCTTTTGAACATGATAAACGTTATCTTTTAGCCGTGCCTTTCTTGCACGTTGTTCCAAATCCTGTACCACCTCCAAAATGGCCAATACTACAATACGCACAACGAAATGTAGTCGCTGTGGCAAGCAAATCGATTGAAATGTTTTGTATTTTTGGTGGAACTCCTGAACCAACGATGAAATGGAGAAGGAATGGTA